TGATCATGTTCGTTTTCAATCTCATCCTACCTATCCATTACCTTTTGTTTATAAAAAACAATTCACCGCTGGGGAAAAAACTTCTGAAGTACACTTGGTACCTAAATTAGTAAGATGGAGTTATCGTACTACCGATTTTAATGATTTAGATTGGCGTTCAATTGATCTTAAAAATGGTGGTCCTATTGAAAATTTTTATGCTTCTGGTCACATTTTATATAGTACTAAATTCTCAAGTAATTATTCTTCTAGTAAAGTACAATTATCCGTTAATATGAGACATAGATGTACTATATTTGTTAATGATCATTTCGTTGGTGGTCATACAACTTTTTCAAGGCAACTTTTCTTCCCTGGTTCAAAGAATGGTCCTGAATTATTTAAACATTTCGGTGATGAAAAATATGATATAACTCAATTTCTTCATCCAAATGGTGATGAAGAAAAAAATTTTATTGTAATCTTGGTAGAAAATTTGGGTTTAAGTCGACAATCTGTTATATTTAACGATGTAAAAAATCCAAGAGGATTAATTTCGGCAAAAATTAATGGTTTAGTTAAAGAATCAAAATTATCTTGGAATATTTCGGGTGTTGATTTACGTAAATTAGATAATTCTTATAATACTACTGGAATACCTAATGAACGTAAAAATTTTGATTGGAAAGAAAGTGAAAAAGGTATTTCTGGTCATGGTGTTTTACCTAACGATGGAATAAGATGGTGGTGTTTTAGATTTTCTCATCCTATAGAAAGTAAATTTAAAGATATATTAAATGCTCCTTTAAGATTAGTCCTTTATGGTGCATTTACTTCTTATATATTTTTAAATGATACATTAATTGGAAGGTATTATGGTAATGGTGATTGTGCTCAACATGATTATTATTTAATGGATGGTTTATTAAAATTTGGCGATGATGAAAATGAAATTACTATGATGGTATATTCCTGGGAAACGGTTAATCCAGAAGAAATTGTTGTTGAAATTAGAGGTTGGGAAATTGATGATGTTAAAAAATCGGGAAATTTAATTAAACCTAAAAAGGGTACTGACGAAGATATTGAATTGGAAGTTAAACCTTGGATTGTTAGAAAAGAATTCATTCCTTTAACATAGTAGATTGATAGATACATATATTCATATTTTATTTATTTTTTATTGATTTATATTATTTAATAGATTTTATCGCTATTTCATAGCTAAATTATACATATTTTAAAATATCACTTTAATTACCCATGATTAGGTTCTATCTAAAGTTCTGCAATATTGTCTTCCGGATAATTATTGTTACATGTAAATTGTATTACTCGGTTAGCTGAAGTTTTATAAAAATTTCTGACGGTCAAAATTCGAATGATCGTGTGTACGTACGAATATCAAATGTAAATGCTATTAATAGTAGGCCATATTCATTTTTGTAAAATTTTTAGGATAAAGATTTCCACAGCGCAACCACCAACAAAAAAACTGGGCATAAATCTGTTGAATATGCTAATTCAACCTGATATTACTAAATATGCGCAATGCGTCAAATATACTAATTGAGCGATTGATTCCCCTTTTATCCAATAACAATATTATAAAAATTTGCAATAACTCAATAAATCTATATTACAAAAATAAATAAAAGATTTATAATTAATAATATAAATCTTCCATAAGACATTTATGCATGTTTTATTAATAAAAATTTGTCAATTTAACAAAAACAAATTCATTACTTGAAACAATTCACGAAGCCAATTTAGTGCATGGAGATTTGCATTCCGGAAATATAGTTATCGAAAATATGTATAGTCCTTACATAACTGATTTTGGATTATGTAGGCCAGTGTCTCAAGATTCAAGCACTGAAGAGCTTTTTGGAGTGCTTCCCTTTATTGCTCCAGAATTGTTAAAAGCAATTTTGAAACACGATAAAATAGTATATGCTCAGAAATCAGACATTTATTCTTTTGGAATTATTATGTCAGAAGTTTTTACTGGATATCCTCCATATCATGATATTCCACAT